CCCAAAATTGATCCAGAAACTAAGGAGGCTTTTGCTTTTTGTTACGGTCCATATCTCCATTACCTATTTTAGAATTAACCCTAACGGGACCAAAAGTTGTGACTTACCAATTTTCTCTATGACACGTCCATCTTTTGTACATGACTTTGCTATTACAAACAATTATGCCATATTTCCTGACATACAAATTGAAATGAACCCTTTTGCGCTCATCACTGGGGGCTCGCCGATGAGGTCTAACCCGAGAAAAGTGCCTCGCCTCGGGGTGATTCCTCGTTATGCCATGGACGAGTCGAAAATGAAGTGGTTTGAAGTGCAAAGTTTAATACTGTGCATGCAATTAATGCATGGGAAGAAGATGAGTGATACGATAGTGATGATTGCGCCAAATGTAATATCGGTGGAGCACTTCTTGAAAAGATTGGACATGACACATTCTTCAGTTGAGAAAGTAAAGATAAACTTGAAAGACCGGGATGGTAACCAGACATCCAGTGTCAACGAGGAATCTTGACCTAGGAGTTATCAACCCGGCTTACGTTGGCAAGAAGAACAAGTACGTACAACAGTAATTTAATTATTTATGTTTTATCCTGACCCCATTCAAGAAAAAGAACACTGCTTTGATTTACTCTACTGATAGTTTAAAAGTTCTTTGCGACTACTAGGCATATAGTGCATGTAGGGTTAATTTCACGTATTATTACTGAACTTCAGTGGCATAGCCACCTTATGCCAAGGGTGGTCAAGCGCACACCCTTTGCCGAAAAATTAAGTTGCATATATAAATTAAATACTACTTTATATGGTTATATATATATATATATATATATATATATATATATATATATATATATATATAATATTCTGAACACTAATACAGTTGAGTGAAGCAGTTTAGCAGTTCAAGGTGTTCAAAGTGACGTGTTGTTCACGGGTTCAAAGTTCTGCCCGTTTTATTTGCCAAAAATAAACGGAGACCACCGTGTAGTCTATTTGATTCTTTTTCAATCTAATATTTTTTCTAATAAATTAAGTCTTAAAACTTAAAATTTATGTAGAAATAAATAACTAATCTTAGAAGTAATTTTGTACCTAAAAGTTATTTCTTCAATAAAAGCTCTGTACAAACTAAAAATCCTCTCGACTCTCTCTTTCCTTTGGTTTTATGCTTGCTTTTATTAGTAAATTTCTGATGTTCTCTTTTCGTTATTTTAATTTTAATTTATAAAATTATAGTTCTATTAAAGTTTTTTATTATTGTTTAGCTAAATGTTGCGTAGTTTGATCTAAATATTTTGGTACACCATTCATCGACCAAAAAAAAAAATAGACTTGTTTAAAGTTTGAACATCCTTGACAGTATTCCTGGCTACGCCACTACTGAACTTTACCTGCTATATATAATAATAAAGTCATAGGAGTAAATTTTTTCTAAACGTTAAAGTAACTGAACTTTATTCACAATAACAGTAAAGTCACAAACTTACTATGTCACATTAAATAACTGAACTGTCTTCATACATAGGTATATATATGCAGCTACTGGAAACCCTTTGCCAAAAGCAGTAGGTGTGGTAAAATTGGACGTGTCCATATCAGAAACTGATCGTCGTGATTGCATAGTAGCCACAAGAATATTTGGACCAAATTGTTTTTGTAGTGAGCCATTCTTTGTAGCAAAAGACACCATCAATTTAACAGCTGATGAAGACGATGGCTATGTGGTTTGTTATATGCATAATGAGAGCACAGGAGAATCAAGTTTCTTAGTTATGGATGCCAAATCTCCTGATCTTGAAATTGTTGCTGTTGTTAAATTGCCTCGTCGCGTTCCTTATGGTTTTCATGGGATATTCGTTAAGGAAAATGATCTTAACATGATATAGGGTTCAGGTTCAGGGTTCAAGGTTCAGTACGTGTTATAAGTTTTCGTAAATATTTGTGAAGAAAAATGATCTTAAAGTGTTCTGTAAATTTTGAATAATTTTATGTTGTTGTTGTAACAGTTTGATGTGAATTGAAATTTCACAAACTTTACTAAAATAAGATTTGAAGGAGAAGTATATATCACTTGCACAGTACCAGAGCAGACTTTGTTGGTTTGTAGCTTTGATTGTAGAAAGATATTATAGCCCATGTTACAGCTCGTATATGTGTATCAGCTAGTAGGCAAAACTAACAATAATATATGATTTTAACAATATCTTTTTCTTCTTTTTACTCTCTATTTTTTTTTTCCTTTATGTATTTAGTATTCAGAACTTCTTGACTTGACTATCCGAATTCGATGTACATAGGGCCTGCTAAAAGGAAAGCGCTCTTGGGCAAAAATTTCCCTATATTAATAACTTGTTTGGATGGTTATTTTATATTGTTACTTATTTTATTGTACTGTATTGTATTGTTTGAATGAATATAACGTTTGGATATATATCGTCGTTTCATAAAGCCACACAACAACAACTTTACTACATCGTAACACAGCTAATTAAGCGAGGCGAAACGCCCTCTAGGAGCTATTATAAGCTTTAGGGCTTAAGCGCGCCTTAACTTTGACAGCGCTGCTGCTGAAAATAGAGAGCTGAGATAGTATTTGTACAAGAACCTATTGAATGATCACCACGGCATTACTTGAGATAGCTTGCCCATGTAGTTCTTGTTGGATTGAGTTGCGTTTTCTTTCATCAAGCGAAAAACCCAACAATTGCTCCCATATACCACAACCACAATACCATTTAAAACAGGCAAACTTACACAAATGTCCCAAATAAATCTTAACTTACCAACCACTAGCCATTAGTCATAGACTTACCAAAACTAGCCAACAAAAATTGAAAAACCAAATAATAGGGTTCTTTGTCTCAAAGAATCACATGCAAAAATCACCTTCCATATTTTTAAGCGTGATTAACAACATTAGATACAAGACGGAAAGAAAATTTCATGGACGGGGTAGCAAATAAGGTGATGAAATACAAAAATCTATATAATATTCCAAAAATCTAAACAAAAAAGGAACTTTTTCAATGAGCATAGTTGAAATTTATTGAAAATATGTAGATAAGTCAATATACAAAATTTGAGGAAGATTGGAGGTGATTTGGACTGGTTTTTGTATCAAAATCCGTAATTAAATCGAGTTCAAAAAAGTCTTCTGCGACACATGTATCAAACATGTATCACGCATGTATCTCACACACAGGTATACATGGATATACATGTGATACACAATTGATACAAATACGATACATATGTGATACAGAAATGATACACAGTGTGATACACATATTATTTTTTTTTGGCAGAATAGCCTAAACGGCACTTGTACTTCACCCACTTTGTCATGCCGGTCCCCAAACTTACATATTTGCCAATTGAACACTTATACTCATTCAAAACGTGAATAATAAACGCTTATCCAACGTGGCTTATCCTATGTGTCATATGTGGCTGCAGTGCGTGATTCACACGCCTGTAAGGGGCGTGAAGACAGTAAAAAAAGCCCTAACGGTAATAATTTAGCCTATTTAACATCCATCTTCTTCTTTGTACCTTATTCTCCATTGTTGAACATTGTAGAAGCTAAATTTAGCAAATCTGATGCCTTCTTCTTTCTTTGTTAGCTTCAACTGTCAAAAATAGAATTTTAATTTCATGTGAATCTTCTTTGCCCATCAATTTTTGCAATCTCCTTTTGTTTTGAAAGTGGATTTTTTTCTGCTTCTCCTGCAACAAATACGCTATTGCCGCCTCTTCTCCTTCAACAATGAGGATGCAACCTTTGTGTTATTGTGGAGTTGCTGCAGATCTTAAAATGTCACGAACACCCACCAATCCTGGAAGGAGGTTCCTGTGCTGCCGAAGATATGAGATTGGTGAAGGTTGTGGCTTTTTCAGATGGGTTGATCCTGCGATTGAGGAAGAACACTACAAGACTCTTCTTGCGGCTCTTATTAAGAAGAGTGATCGATGCCATTGTCAAAGAAGTCAAGGAAGGTCGAAGTTGAGAGTTGCTGCTATTATAATTGTGGTTGTACTTGTTCTAATGTTAGCTATTATGTTATTTGTTTAGGATTGATAGTGCACTTTGTTATTTCCTGGGTTTAGGCTACATATTTTGTGTTGATGTAAAATTTTGTTCATGAAATATATTGACAAAGGCTCCATTACAGCAACAAGTACTGGTGTACATAATACATCCAAAATAAGGGAGTTGGTTTACAAAATATTGTCAATGATAGGCAATCAACAAAAACAGACATAATGAAGTAGCTTTACAAAATATTGTCTACCACAGTCAACAAAAACATAGTAAATATTAGTTGAGCACTTCAATTAATGTCTGTTGTGGCTTGGCTGCTTGGTGTGGATTGTGTAACTGGTGTGGCTTGAGTGGTTGTAGCAGACTTTGCCCTTCTGTAACTCTGTTCTTGCAGCTGCCTTTGTGTAACTGCTGGTCGGCCCTTCCACTTTAGTCCAGGTGGTTTGAACCTAAGTTCAATGTTGGTAGGAGCAGAACTTATGAGTGTAGAAGGATTGTGTACCACTCTGTCAGTAGTTCCAGACTGCACAAAAATAAAAGGTTGTGAGTGAGGGATTATGTAGTAAACCATTGTGTAATTGAGTTGAAATATTTACTCTCTGTATAACAGTGCCACTTGAATCAAATAGCACACCATATCCTGCTGTCTTTGTTCTCTTAGACCTTGCATTTGCACCACCTCTTCTAGGTTCATTGGTCTTCCTTTTTGGACCTCTTGCAACATTAGTTGATTGTTGTGTGCTTGGATCAAGGATTGCAGGTGTTGTTGATGCACTTGCAGGTATTGTTGATGCACTTCCAGCTGCTGCAGTTCCACTTTCAGCAGTTTCACCTCTACCTGCTGGTACTGAGCACTTCCACTGCTGCAGTTCCACTTTCAGCAGTTTCACCTCTACCTGAACTAGTTCCAGCCCTTCCCTCTTGGTTTTTCTGCATACACATAACAAAACTATCACTAGTAATTGAATTCTTTCAATATTAGTAACAAAACAAACATTAATACTTACTGCTGATGGGCATCCTTTCTTGTTATGTCCTAGAGTCTTGCACAAAGAACATCTCATTTGTCTCCCTATCCTTGTACCCTTCCCAAACTTCTTCTTTGGTTCATCAGCAGCCTTTGTCCTTTTTTTCTTTGGCCTTCCCGGCATTGCAGTTATAACAGGTGGCTCCATAGCTGGCAGTGTGCTTGTTGGCCACAAATTCATACTAGTTAAAGGTTGAATGAATCTGCTATATGCCTTAAGGTAGGTATCCTTTCTATACCAATGGTCAACATATGGCTCAACCTCATAGTTCTTGTAATGCATTGCTGTAATTGCATGTGCACATGGAATTCCTTTGAGTTGCCATGATCTACAAGTACAGGTATATGCCCTAAAGTCAACAACATGTTTATATGGCCCATCCTGGATCTCATACCCTGTTTCACCATTAAATTTGACTTCACATTTGGCTGCCCTTTGAGCATTCTCTCCAAGTATTTCCATAGCCATGGGTGATATCTCACCTACCCATTTTTCAGAAAACTCTCTCATGCTATTCATCCTCTCCATACACTTGATTCTAATTTCCTCTAACATAGTAATGATAGACTTGTGCCTAGCTGCCAATATCCAACTATTGAATGTCTCACACATGTTGTTCTCAACTACATCACACTTACTATGGTCTTTGAAATATGCCCTACACCATGTTTCCTTGTTGTATTTCAGTAAGTCCTGAACAATATTTCCCCCCAGCTGGTCCATTTCATCCAACTTCTTGCTAAAGTAAACCTCAAATGTAGCTCTTGCACACTGTCAGAATTTTTTCCTTCTTTCCTCACCAGGCCAAGTTTGCTTCCAATTAGCCCAGATATGTCTAGCACACCATCTCATTTCAGCATTTGGCAATAACTGAGTTATTGCTAGATGAAGACCCTACAGTCATAAAAATTATATTGTTATAACTTAAACATAAATGAAAACAATTACACTTTAAAGAAAGAGTATTAGAAACCATACCTTCTGCATATCAGACATGACTGTCAGCCCTTCTCCTTCAGTTTCTGTCAAGTTTAGATCATGCTTGAGACACCTGATAAACCAAGACCATGTATCCTTTGATTCCTTTTCAACTACTGCCCAAGCCACAGGGAACATTTGATTATTTCCATCCTTGGAAATGCAGGAAAGCAGTTCACCTTTACATGTCCCCTTTAGGAATGCACCATCAAAGCCAATTATGTTTCTGCACCCTTCTAACCATCCAGTTTTTAATGCTTCAAGACAGACATAAATGCCCATAAAGACTTCCTTGCCAGAAACTGAATCCTTAGATGTCCTTATCACTACAGTAGTGCCAGGATTAGTAGACTTCAGCATTTCTGCATAATCATGAAGCCTAGCAAATTCTTTCTTGTAATCACCCATATTCTCCTTCATAACTATCATTTTTGCTCTTCTACAGGAAGTTTTACTCACATACAAGCCATATGATTGCCTAAGTAAGGCTTGAATCTGATGAAGTTTAATTTGAGGCTCACTAACTATTCTGTCTTTGAATTTTTTTGCAATCCATGGTGGGTTACACATCTTGTTCCTTGTTTTCTTGTAGCATTTATGGACAGGGTAGTATGTAATCACCCTAAAGTTTCTGGTGCTGCCTTCAATGCTACCAAGGATATGCCATGGACATCCATTTTTTGTGCACTTTGCCTAACCCTTTCCTTCTCATTAGGTTTCAACTTAAGGTTGACACCTTTTTGAATAGAATATGTCTGCAATGCCTCCCTAAACTGTACAGCATTCTCAAAGATCATATACAGTTCAAAAAATATTTTTTTGGAAGTTGTATCAAAATACACCTTCTTACTTGGATTCCTAGCTGGAGCATCCCTTACTTCATCAGGGCCAACAGGTTCTCTGTCATCATCACTACACTCACTACCTGGATCTGAGCTATCAAAATACTGGTCATCCCCTCCTAGTTTCCCTTCATATTTTCCCCTTCTGTTCTTATGCATATCTTCAAAACCATCATCTACACCAACTGGACCAGATGGTATCTCATCTACATTTACTTGGGCATCCTTCTTTTTGTTGAGTTTAGACTGTCTAATTTCAACTAAATCATCTTCCAAATCACTACACTCTTCAATGTTCTCATCTATATCAAACAGTGAGTCAGACCCTTCAGAATCATCAAGGTCCTCATCAGATTCAGATTCTGATGTTTGAAGGTGATAGGAAGAGAAGTTATTACTTTCACCTTCATCTGATTCTTCTATCTCTTCATTTAACCCACTGTCATGCCCCTCTGTTTGTATAGTGGGGTCTAGTTCAGTTATGTCCTCAACAAGAATAGGCTCACTAATTTTATGGACAATACAAACATCAACAAAGTCACCACCTTTCAATGTATTAAGAAAATTTAACACATCAGCATCTGTTTTTAAAATGAAATAGGCACCACTTTTGTTAACTTTACATCCAAACAAATCCACTTCTAAAAATCCTAAGTCCCTAGCAAACTTGTGAAACAACATAATATGTAGCTCATCCACATCAACTGTAGCTAAGTGAGGACAGGTTAGTCCATTTGCATACCTTAGGTCAGGGTCGGATACAAAATTACCACTGTGGTGGATTTGTAGGTTAACTAGGGTTGAAGCCATTTTCTTTTCATACCTGCAAAGAAACAAAAAAAACAGTGTTATCAATGACTATTTGTTATCAAAAGTTGCACCTTTACACAACTCCATAAACAAACCAACAAAAAAGACAGATTTTTAAAGTAAAAAAGCATCCAAGATTCCTTTTTCGTCCCCACAATGCCTTATAATATTCAGAAAATACTGTGGTGGACCGCTAACATGAACGAGACCCAACAAAAACCCAAGACACTAGGATGAAATTCTGATTTGAAAACAAAAACCCAAAACACTAAAGAGAATAACCAAATATGCCATTACATGCATGACACTACATTAAAAAGGCCTTTCACTCTAACATGTAGCAAAACACAACAAAAGCCCTATATATTAAGGGATATTAAACAGCAATTACGACCTAACCCAACCTCCCCCTAAAAAACCCTAAACAGAGCAAAATCCCCATAAATAGAAGGAAATGAAGAACAATAAAGACAAAATATGAAGAATAAATGAAGAAACTTACCCCACAAACTTTGATAACAACTGTACAGATGAAAATCCCGGCAAGAACGACGGAGAAGAGAGGAGCGACTCACTGTTATTCGATACTATCTAAGCCCTAATTTAGCGGGGTAATTGTAAAATGAGGGGAAATGTGGGTTTGGGGGGGGGGGGATAAATAATTTTTTATCCTATTTGGCCATCAGATGTGACTTGGAGCCTACGTGGATATATTTTATTGACGTGGCGTCCTACGTGTAGGCGATTGTCAAACACGCACTGGCAGCCTCATTGGATAAGCATTTATTATTCACGTTTTGAATGAGTATAAGTGTTTAATTGGCAAATATGTATGTTTGGGGACCGGCATGACAAAGTGGGTGAAGTACAGGTGCCATTTAGGCCATTCTGCCTTTTTTTTTTTCATGTTCAGCTTTTACTTCGAATTTTCAATTCAAACAACCTCAAAACTTCACCAAATCATCCCAAACTGAGATTCAAGCTCCTTAAGTTGTGCCCAATCTATTCTAATAACACCCACTCAAAAAAAAGCAAAAATTTGATATTTTTTTACTACAAATAGTTAATTGGCTAATTTGGCTAATATTAGTAATATTTTATCAATTGGCCAATTTTTGTAATGAGCTACTAATAAATGGACATAGCTGGTAATTTCCCTTTAAAACATGGGCTGAGTAACATTTGTTCAAGTACCATTGCACTTCTCAGAATATAAACAACAAATTCAATCCACCAAATAAATCCACCAAATTTCACTTCTTTTAGCTCAGTGTGATATGTAGGAGATAAATGAGGCCTAATTATGCCACTTCCTCTTGCTTCCCTTGTTGTCCTCGATTGCTGAGATCATAACAAGAATAATATCAATATATTGCTAATTGAATACCTATGACTTATGTAGTTAATCAAACTGGAATTCAGTATTATTCGTATACATAACAAATCATGGCATTAACATTACCACTGGTTTTAATACATGGATAAGCATGTATAAAGATAGAACTGCCATTTCAAAACCCTTAATACACCAAACCAAACAGTCGATAAGAAATAATCTGAGCATAATTAATTTCAGCATTACTAATACACCCTATTCAGTGCTATTCTTTTACACTCTATCAAACGACCCCCGAGGAATATACTAAGTAGTTCATTATGTTATAGATCACAAAAATAGTTTCTTGGAAATCAACTATAGGAAGTGTTTCATTCAGTTACAACAACTCCAACCTCATCGGGTAATATTTTTTAAAAGAATTAACCCAAATAGTTGTCCACTCAATCACTTAAACTAAAAATAGTCGATGGAGATAATATTTTTTATTGGTGTAAACATGACTAGAGCGGAACGGTCATATAATTATCATATTATCTTTCTTCATTTATTCATGTGGACATACCAACATATTATAGACAAGCAAACAATATCCAGAAAAGGGAAGGGAAAAAAAAAAAAGAAGAAAGAAGAATATGGATAACTCACCACAACATTCAAATATCGGAGAAGAGGACAGGCGCCTAAGAGAGGGGAAATTTTAACTATGTCAAAGTCGTCCGTGAGCACAAGTACCATGTTTAGTTTCCTAAGGTTTCTGAATATTAGTGTCTCTGTTGGGAAGTATTTTATCCGAAATATAGAACACATCAAGTGATTAGGGTCTTTAAAAAGACTAAGACCGAAGTAATTTGAGAAGATGTCGTCAAATACCTGATCATAACACGCTTTAACGGTTAAAGATTTTGTGAGCGTTACTGTGTTAAAACACAAAATCAGAAAAAAAAACTGTTAGAAGAATTAAAGAAATCTGGAAAGTAATAGAGAATCAGAAATATTCCGAGTCCACAAGTTTCTTGTGTGTCCTTAAGGAATTTTAACCCCCTCACAAGTTGCCAAGGTAATGGATTAAATCCTTCCAGGATAAAACGGAATAAACCTTCCTGCAACAGTGGCAATACAAACTGCAGGATCCCAACGAACTCTAAGAACGGAGCAAAATCACACTTACGAATTGGAGAGAGATTGACTGCGAATTAGGATGCAGTATATTCAAAAAGAAAGAAGTTCTGGAGTGTTTTTTTTCGTGTGTAGAAAATGGAGCCTTGCCTCAGAATTTATAGGCAATTATCAGAAGAGGTGTGTGGAAAAGGTGCCTTTTCAGAAGAATACGCTGCCTGCCGCGGTTTTACCGCGGTTACGGCAGAACCGCGGTCAGAGAGGCTCTCTGAATCTGCCTGCCGCGGTTCTACCGCGGTTACGGCAGAACCGCGGCCAGAGAGTCCCTCTGAATCTTCAGCAGGGTTCTGATAAATATTGTCCAAAAATAATCTTATCGATCGATCATTTGACAGATCCAGATCCAAATCCAAATCCAAATCCAAATCCAAATCCAAATCCAAATCCAAATCCAAAGCCAAAGCCAAAGCCGAGCCGAGCGAGCGACGACGATGGCGCGAGGGTTCATTCTCTTCAACTCCTTTTAAGAGCTTTAAGAAGTTATTCTATATATAAGCACACAAATGTGATTGTCCCTCACCAATGAGGGACAAAGTGCAAGACAAAAGTTCACTTCTTCAAATTTTCATTTTTCCCTC